CGCTGCAACTCTCGCGGAAGAAACCTCATGTCGATGTGCTTCACTCTGCTCTCCAGTCGAGCCTCTCGACACAAGAGAATCATGTCCTTCTGGTCAGCGAACAAGGTCGGTGCAGAGCTTGGCCGCTCACCAAGGTCGGTGAGCAAGAAGGTCAACCAGCGAAGCTCATGCGTAGCCATAGAACCGGTGTAGATCTCTGCCTCTGCGCTAGACTGTGCCACGATCAATGACCGAGTGGACCTCCACGACACAGCTCCACCGCTCAAGCTGAAGCAGTACCCCCGAGTAGACAGACCTCTGCGTCTGCACGTCGTCGTCGTAGGAAGAGTCGCAGTGACCAGTCAGTACAACTGGCTGTGTCCCTCCATTACAAGCCCATGCCTGATGTACTCGCTAGATACTTTGCCACCCTCATAGCAGCTGTCCAGTGAACAGGATGGTGTCTCCCGGTCGCAACAAAGTGAGAGAGGATGCTCAAAGGAAAGGCGAGGTCCGGACGAGTACAAGTCATCAGGTACATGAGGCAGCCCACAAGCACTGCGTAGGGGCCATTGGACTCAAAGGGCTCGTCGGGAAAAGAGCCGGTGTGTCTGTCGTCAATGGCAAGAGGAGTGGGTTGTGTGGCAAAGAACTGAAGCCCGAACCGCTGAAGGATTTGCCGCACCATGTGTGACTGTGAGAGTGTGATGATGCAGGCGGCTCTGTCCCTAGTGATCTGCAAGCCAAGGTAGCGGCGCAGCTCACCAAGGTGAGTGCGCGTGTTTCTCTTCTCCAATTCGGACTTCACCTCAACCAGAGCTGTAGCAAAGACCAAGTCAACAATGCAGACAAGGACAAAGAAAGGTGTGGGTCCAGATCGAACGAACAACGACGGGTCGGCGGACGGAGGACGAAACTTGAGGGCAGCAAGAGTGGTGCGTAGTGTGTCGTGCCACTCACGGGGTGCCTGGCGGAGACTGTACACTCGTCGCCTCAGGCTTCACAGGGTCTTAAGCAGGAAAGTACCAGCATAGCCATAAGGGCTGTGCAGCCAGATTTCCTTGTGTAGGCATCCCTGAAGAAAGGCAGTGGAGAATTTGAGGGAGTGCAGCTTGTAGTCTCGCTGTGGTGCGACGTGAAGTAACACCCAAAGACTAGTGATCTTCGGGGTCGGGAAGGTCTCGAAGAATTCAACTCCCTCACGCTGACTGAAACATCTAGCCACGTAGCGCGCCTTGAAGACAGGCGGCGATCCAGGCGGCCACTTCACCTTGAAGATCCACACGTACATCCCCAGGTGGGGGAGCTGCGTCGATGTAAGTGCCTGTAGATCTCCAAGACGCCATCTCTAAGTCCATGGCAGCTATCCACTGAGAGACCCACTGTGTTGACACTCCTCACAGTACGTGCGAGGAGTCGGTACGTCAAGAAGCGGCTGCCGGGAACCCCAGCTCAAACTGCCTGTCCTCTAAGATGTCACAACGAAGGGCAGACTCACCCCCAGCGGACAGAGGATGGGCAGCCACCACATGAGTGGTGTATTCAAGGCGGCGAGTGGCAGCAAACTCAGTGACGGCGGCAGAAAGAGACGAGACAGACGTCAGAGAGGCACGAGGGGCCATCAGAAGAGAAGCGAGAACACGAGAGACATCAGGACGAGCAGCGCGATAGTAGTCAGTGATAGGGTGAGAGGAGGCTGTAAGTGACGAATAAGGAGGTGACGAGAGAACAAAATGAGGTGGAGAACAAGGAGGACTAGAACAAAACAAGGCAGTGCGGAGTCAAAAGGAGGTGAGGGACGAGCACGTGGGGAACAGTGAACGGTCCAGTCGTGCGGGACAACAGGAGAAGACGGCTGTGACCAAGGAAGAGGGAAAACAGCCGGAGACGAGTTCGGGGGAGGAAGAATATGTGCAGCAGGAGGCGGTGACTGGTCCAGGGAGGAGGAAAGAAGACCAGGGGTTCGGATGCCACGTTCAGGAAGGAACAATTGCTGCAAAACGGGCAGCTACGGTGTTTGCTGCCACTGCTGTAGCTCCTGTCACTGCTGCAGCTCCTGCCGCTAGAGCTCATGATGCTACTGCTCCAGCTTCAGCCTCTCATGTGCCAACCTCTCCTACTCCCTGCGCTCAAGCCGAAGAAGAGCCTGGCGACGCGTCGGGAAGCGGTCGGGAGGCAGAGTATGTGCCGTTTGGAGTGTCTCCAACGCCAGTCTCCTCAGAATTAAGACCTCCCGCTCCAACACCCCCAGCTCTAGTACTCCCAGAACTAGCACCCCCGGAACTAGCACCCCCAGTGCTAGCACCCTCAGCTTGAGCACAGGGGAGGGCGCGAGTCGAGAGCTTGTCCGCAAAGGTGTCGCGGACAAGCGCACGACAGCCCCAGGCACGAAACTCTGACGCAACACCAGGGGACCTGGTATAAAGACAGGTCGGTGAAGCCTCTGGCTGTGAGACATGAGGCCAGAGGTTCAGCTGGTGGGCGGTGTAGCGAACCGCGTAGGGCCACAAAAAAAGGGATGGACGGGCATGGATTATGGAGGTGCGGCCGATTTCCATGACCAAGATTATGCGGCGCTCAGCAACCCCATTCTGCTGTAGGGACTCCGAAAGCGTCCAGGACTGGGTGATGCCCTGCTCGCTACAGAATATGCGAAGAATGCCGGAGCAAAACTTACTCCCGTGGTCGGAGTGGAGACAAATGACACGATGATCACGAGTGGCCTCAGTGGCCAGCATCCTCCTGATCAGGGTAGAAGTCACGTCAGATTTCTTCACCAGGGGGAAGACCGCAGTGTAGTGAGAGTAGTCGTCAACGGCCACCATAAAGAAGCTCTCCCCCTTAGGCCCAGGGCGAGGGGCGGGGCCACAGACGTCCAAGTGGAGACTCTAGAAGGGTGTGATGGTCGGACGAAGGGAGAAGGAGTGAGGGGTGGTACGCAACCAACCCTTGACGCAAGGAGTGCACGGCGACGAAGGCAAAGAGGGGAGCGACAGAAAGACGTGCGGAAGACCTGAGACAAGATGCTGACTGGACATGCTGCAGATGCCAAGACGGTGGTGCCACAGCACACTCGGGTGGATGAGCGACTGACAGGAGCAAGACGCAACTACCTGACTAGACGCAGCTACCTGGGGGGACTCTGTGTGCAGTGTGAAGAGACAGGAGCGGGGCTCCCAGCGAAACTCATCCAGGGGAGCGTAGGTGTCACTATCCACACAGGTACCAGCACGCTTACGCAGAGGAAACCACATCAAGTTCCTGGAGAACGAGGGGATGTGGAGACCAGTGAGGACACCAGAGGGGACAGCTGGGCATGGGAGGGCGGTAGAGCTGCGTGCAACTGCTGGTCCTAAAGTAAGATCAGCCAGGCAACCGAAATCAGAGCCGAAAGCGGTATAAGAGTCGAGTAGTCGCGGAAGAAGCACTGACACGCGCCAAGACCAGCATGAAAGAGAGTGACGCCTCAGCCGCAGGTGTACCTGGGCTAGTAGTTACACAAGCACCTAGAATGGAAGCACTAGCACCAACACTAGCAACAGGCAAGGATCCTAAGCTACGAACACGCGAGCAAACATATCCTGTAGCACTATTGTCGAAATCGGCATACATCACAAAAACATAGTCCAATCAACTAAATCTACCGCAGACAAGTCCCACAGAGCAAGTCCACGAGAGCGAGCAAGTGGGGCCCAGTCCGGAGTGGGGCCAATGCCGTACTGAGCGCGGACTCGGTCAGTGAGCTGCGCAAAGCACTACTCCGGAGTGTGAAAGCGGCCACAGTGCTGACCCTCACGAGCACCCGTTTAAACCACGTACGAGCAGAGAGGCAAAGGGACACCACGCGACGCCGAGCTGGGCAGACCACCCCCAAGACCAGCGCTCCCTGTGTTGTGTGATGCTATCATACGTATTCACATCTGTCTGCCACCCATCATGTATTCGTATGTTGCATGCGTGGTGTGAGCATGTGCAAGGATTTGTGTTTGGCTTGTTTGTATGCTGTGAGAGTGTATGAACTTTATTTTGTGCGAGCAGATCTTTGAAATGACTTCTCTGCTCAAGAGCTTTCCGACGAACCAAGAATCGTCGCGATTGGAGCACAGACGAGAAAGTTACGAATGTTCGAAGTTCGTATGTTTTTCATATTTGGTTGCGGCGACTATGGGAGTTTGTTGAGTGACTCTATCTGGGGTATATACCATTGGGGTTGGGAATTTTCGTCACCATCACTGTAGTTGCTGCCAAGTGGTTGGGAGAAGCCAAACCAGGTTGGCAAGTGTGGCCATGTTGGGTGAGGTGATGGCATGGGTTGGGAAAGAGACAAATGTCAAAGTTGGGTTGCTATAGGGAAGGAATTTTATGTGCTTATGGGGTTTGCTTGGTTGGGAAATCCCTAGGGACCTTCCCTCTCGTCCTCTTCATCCTCTCCTACCTGGTTTCATGCTAGTTTAATTCTCTTGTGTGGATCTTGAGAGGAAATTGTGATTGAGTTAAGCTTGAACTCCAGCTTACCCCCTAGTGCGCCGAAATTCATAACTTAAGAAATGCTTCACCTTTTCGTGCGATTCAAATTGGAAATTGTACTTCGGTTAAGTGCTACAACATATTCCAATTGGGTGAAGTTTGAACGGTGAAATTTTCGTCTGTGAAGTCGACTTTTCTGTCCATAATTACAGTCCAACGATTTTGAGTTATTCCGGCCCTTAATCTTCCTAGACTCCGTCCTTAATCCTAACACCCTGGTCCACTAGGTCTCCACTGCTGAGGTTGCTGCTGCACCTGCCATTGAATCTGCTACTGCGGCTGTCCCTGCTGCCGCGGCTATACCTGCTGCTGCGGCTGTCCCTGCTGTGACTGCTACTGCTGGGACTGCTGCCGCCGTTGTGCAATGTACCACGCAGCTGCACTGCGGTCGCGGTCAGGAGAGGGAACTGCGGCTGCCAGCCGCTGCAAGGAATGCCTATGTCAGGAGGTGTGTGAAAGACCGCATGTACGTGTCAAGGTGGGTGTAGTCTAGCATGGCAGGGTGTGGCCGAGTGCGGTTGGGTGCGGTCTAACGCGGTGGGTAGCGCTCACGTATGGTAGGGTGCGGACTAGTGCGGTAGAGAGCAGTAAAGTCGCGGCCGGTTGCGTAAGGGTGTGGTGGAGGGCGGTCTAGTGGAGTCATAGTGAGGAGCGGTCAGGTGGTGTTCAATGCGGTGGAGTGCGGTTAGGAATGGTCTAGTGCACTGGAAAACAGGGTGGCCTGTCAAGGAGCACGGGCAGCTGCACGTGCATGTGCTGCCGTTGCTCCTGCGCTTCTGCTCGTGCGCGGTGGCGTGCATGTGGCTGCGTGCACGGGCTGCAGGGCCGGAGCGGAACGAGAATGGGCGGGCAGGGTGCACAGCGGCAGCTGCTCTGCGCGCGGCGGCAGCGGCTGCTACGTGCGTGGTGGCGTCTACTGCTCGTGTCCATGCGGTGGCGCGCGCGCTCGCGGCTACTGCTGCTGTGCACACTGCTTGTTCGCCGCCGTATGTGCTGTTGGCTGCACGCGCGGCAATGCGTGTTGCAGCTGCGTGCGCACGGCACGGCACGGCGCAGGACGTGACAAAAAGGGGGAGGCAGCGCGCGGCGGCCTATGGGCGCGCGGGTGCTTGCAAGAGCTCATGCGCGCGTGTTTGCCTAGGACAGGGCGCGCTACGAGGCGTTATGGGGCACGCTACGGATGGGGCGCGTTACGAATGGGGCTAGGCGCATTACGGGCGGGACGGGGCGAGTTTTATGAGGCTAGGAACTAACCTACTGCTGATACTGTTGTGTGATACCATCATTTCCATTCACATGTGTATGCCTCACATCCTATCTTTCTACCTTACATGCATGGTGTTCGCGTGCGTAACAATTTGCATTCGGTGTAGTTGGGACTTTGTGAGTGTGTGTAAAATATATTTTTCTTGAGTAGATGTTATAATTAGGAATGGTGTGATTAGGTGAGGAATGGGGGTACAAGCAAGAGAGTCGAGGAAAATTGTGTACCCCCTAAGGCTAGCCCCTATATACCATAGACAATATTGAACACATATGTTTTGACACACCCCTATAGGCGACGTGGGGGATAGCCAGAGCAAGTAATGGTCACAAGACCAGTCAAGAGATGAAGCAAGACAAAGCAAAGCTCAGGGTGGATCTCAAGATCGCCACGCATTCAGAGCACAAGCAAGCGGCCACAAGGCCAGTTCACATGAAGAGTTTATAATAGCAAGAGTAGTACCCTCAGCACAACCTAGCAAGTGTAAGCATGTAGGTATACTCATATGTATTAGAGTATAACAAGGGCAAAACAAGGTCAAGAGACAAGCAGGTGAGGCAGAGTGGGCACAAGCCCAAGAGCAGTGCAAAAATGCTGATGATCATTAGACCCAAGGGCCTTGGTGAAGACATCAGTAGTGTTGGCCTGTGTGGCCACGTAAGCAAGACAAAGCTGACCACGCTGCGGCAGCTCTCGCGTGAGGAAGTAACGAAGAGCAATGTGCTTCGTTCTGTGCTCCAGTCTCAGGTCCTGACACAAGGCAATCATGGCCTTGTTGTCGACGTACTGAACTGGAGGAGAACGAGGCCGCTCACCCAAGTCGGTCAGCAGGTAGGTCAGCCAGCGGAGTTCCTGTGCAGCCATAGCCCCAGCATAGATCTCGGCCTCACAGCTGGAACTAAGTACAGAAGACGAGCGAGTGGACCTCCACGAGACAAAACCATTGCCGAGGCTGAAACTGTACCCCTGTGTCGACCGGTGGGTCGTCTGGTCGTCAGCCCAAGAAGCGTCTGAGTGACCGGTGAGAACAACTGGACCGGGTACTCCAAGCGCGAGCCCCATTCCCGATGTACTGCACAAGTAACGCAATACCCTCTTCGCAGCTTCCCAGTGCACCTTTCGGTTTCTACCGCGAGCAAGGAGGCTGAGAGGGTACGCGAGGTCAGGTCGGGTGCACGTCATCAAGTATATGAGGCAACCCACAAGCTCTGGGTACGGACTACTCGACTCTACGGACTCGTCCGAAGGTGGAGCTGAGAGCGAGTGGCCTATAGACAGAGGAGTGGACTGTGGCGTGGACCACAAGAAGTCGAAGCGATGAAGGACCTGCTGCACCATGTGTGACTGAGTGAGGGTGATGGTGCAGCGTGCTGTGTCCCGGGTGAACTACAAGCCAAGATAGCTCCGCAACTCACCCAGGTCAGTGCAGGTGTGTCTCTCCTGCAGCTCCGCCTTCACTAAGGCTAGAGCCTCACTGTCAGCAGTAGCAAAAACCAAGTCGTCGACGTACACAAGCCACAAGTGTAGTCCTGAGTGTGTAGTGCCACTTATGGGGCGCCTGTCGCAGGCCGTAGACTGGTCGCCGAAGACTCGACTGGGTACCCTCCGGAAATGACCCAGTTAAGCCACGTGGGCGGCGCACCCAGATAGCCTCGTGAAGGCTGCCCTGCAGGAAGGCTGTCGAGAAGTCGAGAGAGTGCAGCTCGTAGTCGCACTGTGCTGCAACGTGCAGTGGCACCCAAAGAGTGGTCATCCTCGAGGTGGGGAAGAAGGTCTGGAAGAAGTCGACCCCCTCACGCTGACTGAAGCCTCGTGCAACGTAACGCGCCTTGAAGGCAGGCGGAGAACCCGGCGGCCGCTTCACCCTGAAGATCCATATGCCATCGACTATGTTCGCCCTAGGTGGGGGAACCTCGTCGACGTAGGTTCCTGTGGACTTCCAAGAAGCCTTCTCTGCGTCCATGGCTATCTGCCACTGAGAGGAGTACAGACCCGTGATCGCCTCTGCGTAAGAGCGCGGGGTCGGGATGTCTAGTGCATCCGGGTCTCCCTCAGGGCAAAGTAGCGTGGACGCGAGATGAGGTGCAGTGGCCGCTAGGCACTCCAGCTCAAACTGCCTGTCCTCAAGAACGTCACAGCCAAGGGCAAGCTCACCCCTGACAGACGGAGGATAGGAATAGTAAAAAACTAGACTCGCAGCGTAGTCAAGTCGGCACAAAGCAGCAAAGTCAATAAGCTCAGCAACTAAGGCAGAAGCAGCAGTGGACTAAAGGAGGGGTCAGTCACAACAGTGGCAAGAAGACGAGTGATAGTCGGACTGACAGCACGGACAAGGTCAAACTCAGGGTCAGGAACGTGAGGAAGAGAAGACGCGGGAGGCGACAGCAGGAAAACACGCTGTGGAACAGAGGAAGGACAAAGTGCCATGATGTGTGTGCCAGGGACAGGTGGAGGACAAGGACGCACAGCACGGCGAGAATGGATCGGCGTGACAAGACGTGATGCATGTTCTCTACGCTCAGTGAAGGACTCTGTCACCGCAGTGTGAGGAGCAGGGGCAGGTAGTGGGGAGCCAGGCAGTAGCTGTGGCCGAGACTGGGCAGCCGGTGGGAACAGTAACGGAGGAGTAGTACTAGCAACCGGGAACTAAGTAGCAGCACGCGGGAGACTGAGAAGGTGGCGAAGTGCAGACAGCTACGGCTGAGTAGTCACACACCCAGAACCGTGAGCCCCAGTAGGAGCAGCACCCCCAGATTCAGCACCACCAGCTCCACCACCGGGACTGCCCCAACGGACAGCCCACTTGCGAAGCTGCTGCGGCGAGAGCGACTCCTCCCGACTAGCACCACCAACTCCAGTACCTCCAGTAGCACCCCCAGTGTCAGCACTGCCAGTACCTCCAACTCCAGGAACAACAGCACTAGCACCTACAGGGCCAGCACCTCCAGTACCTCCAGTAGCACCTGTGCCTCCAGTACCAGTACCTCCAGTACGGCCAACGCCAGGAACACCAGCACTAGCACCTCCAGGGCCAGCACCTCCAGAACCTGCAGCTCCAGCACGTCCAGCGCCGCCACCGGGGCTGCCCCACCAGACAGCCCACTTGCGAGGTCGTTCCGGCGAGAGAGGCTCCTGGCGATGTGAGCCAGGACTACCCGTAGCAGCACCCACAGCAGCAGCACCTCCCGTACCTCCAGTAGCACCTGTGCCTCCAGCACCAGTACCTCCAGCACGGCCAACTCCAGGAACACCAGCACTAGCACCGCCAAGGCCAGCACCTCCAAAACCTGCAGCTCCAGCACGTCCAGCGCCACCACCAGGACTGCCCCAACGGACAGCCCACTCGCGAAGCTGCTCCGACGAGAGAGTCTCCTGCCGACGTGCACCAGCACCACCAGCACCAGCACCACAAGCACCTCCACCCGCAGAACCTCCAGCAGCAGCACCTCCAGCATCCCCTGCACCCGTAGGACTCGCAGCACCCCCAGAGCCAGCACCCCCAGAGTCCGCACCCCCAGTGTCACCACCTCCAGCAGCACCAGAGTCCACAGCAACGGGCCGCAAAGGCGGTGAAGACGGTCGAGGCGGAAAACCAGGAGCGACTGCCAAGCGCGCGGAGCGGCGAGGGGTAACGGTGTTAGCAGTGTTGGTGCAACCCTACGGTTTGCATTCGGCTTGTTGTCCGTGTGCGTGCATGCGTGTGTGCATGGAATGGTATGAGGGCATGAAATAATATATATTTCATGTTTACAATAGTGTGTGTATGATGAAGCATGATTTTGAATGTGTGCGTCGAGTCAATAGCGAGTTATCGCTAGTCGCGTGTCACGTCGTCGTTTGCGTGTCGTGTGCGGTTTTCTATTTTGTCGTGTGTGGAACGTTCGGCGTGTCGCAGGTGTGCGCAGCAGACTTCCAAGAACTCAAGGAAGAATTTACCTTGAAGAACCAGAGCCTTGGTTTCAAGATTCAAGTTATTTCGAAGCTCTCCAAAAGGGTAAACTTTAAGATAGTGAGAATAGTTGCATTACTTTGTGTAGTGTAACATTTCTCTTGGTGTAGGCCCTTGTGGAGGGTAGTTTCGAGACCCTTCGTGGTTGGGGACAGTGTGGCACTGTTCCACATCACTGTACCTCGGCTCTTGGGGTTTGTAGGAGCTGGGAGTCATTCCCAACTCGTAACTCTTCCTATCTTGTGTTCTAAGACTATAGTGGCTGCCATAGTACCGTTCGTTCAGACCAACGCTGTGTCGTCAATTCTTTATGAAATCGTGCAATCTAAATTGCTTATTGTAGGCGACGTCAAGACGCTCCAGATCCAATTTGAATCAAGTCATTTGCAGCTGTGAGCAGAACGCTATCAACGTTTGAAGCCGCTGTGCAGAAATCCGTCTGTGCACTCTATCTTTCGTTTTAGGCACATTCAAGGCTATTGTGACTATAACAAGCAGCAGTCTGGTCACCCCCCTCAGCTGAGCCAGAGGTGTCTGAGGAGATCTCCAAAGGCTCAACCAAGGGGGGTGGGTCTACCTGAGACACACTTGAGGGAGCGGGACCGGGAGGAGGGAGGGGGGCTACCGGGGGGGGGGGGGGGGGGGGAGGGTCCACCAGGGAGAGAGGCGGGAGAGGTACCGGGGAACTGCGGTGGGGGTGAAGACGGTAGAAGCAGACGGACTCGTCAAAGGTTTCGTCGCGGGAGGACAGCATACGGCAAAAGCCCGGGTGGTAAAACTGCCAGGGCAGTGCGTTGGTGGGAAAGCCAAGGAACACGCAGCGAAGAGTGCGTAAAGAGAGCTTGCCAGCGGGCAAATCCCGGACAAGAGAGAGGGAACCCCTGACTCGAAACGTCGACGCATCACCAACCTCGCCCGTCCACCGTCAATAAGGGGAGGTCTCCGGGTGGGACCATAGGTTGAGCTGCGCAGCGCCGTATCGGACCTCAGACG